AACCATCTGTAATTGAATAAATGCAAATGTTGTACTGCGGAACATTCCAGGCACAGCAGTGGCATCTCCGTAGAAACAAGCAAGCGACGGACCCCCAACCAAAAAGTTACGCGGTGCAGCTTTAAGTGTACATGTACTGTTGAGTCCTCTTGGCGTACTGCTTCTTATCCATCACAGTACTGCACAGGATCGCATTAGCACGCATTAATGCTGCTTTCACTTTCCTCTCACTATGTCACGGTCTGTCCACACACAGGTGCCACATACTACACAGTCCGCGGCTAGGCTACGCTACGCTATCTGTTCACACAAGCCGCGGTATTAAGCTCGCAATTAGCATAGCACCTGGGATCTTGCATTCACACCTCGGCTCAGTCCCCCAGTGTGCTGACAGCAGATCTGGCTCCGTTTACAGAAAAAGGAGGGAGGTAATGCGTTTAGTTTGGGGCGCCCCCGGTGGAGAAAAGAAAAACTGGGACACTCCCGATTTGGAATGGTTCATAATTACTCACTCGTTTAACAGTTTTATTATTAAGGAAAATGGTTCTGCGCTCGGCCCATGTGAGTCAGCACAGTCACGTTTTCTTTGTGTTTTGGTTGTTTTTAAACAGCTTTTCAGGGCAGGGCTGGATATCATTCAGACGTTGCCGATACAATACATACCTCGATATGGTGCGCTTTCGATTTGATACAATATATTTCAAATCAGTTCAATATGGTTCAAAAAATAATAAAGGCTAAATGATGACTGTGATACTAAGTCTTTGTTAAACCACCTCTTGTGCAATGTTCATATGAAACACAAACATTTTCATCATCAAAACAGTGAATATGTCAAATGTATCGCAAAAATGAGTTTCCTTCCACTAAACAAGCAACAGAACTGTAGCGCTGAAACAAAAAAAAATTAGTAAAATAAACCAAAAAATACTCTTGGCGATATATCGATACAGCAGCCCATGATATCAATACTGTATCATCACATTAAATGATACGATATATTGATATTTCAATATTTTTGCTCTCCCCTACTCTTTACTGTTGGCAGATATCAAATTTGTCAAAAATAAGGACACATAGGACATTTCTTGTAAAAAACTGGGACAAGTTAGTGGTTTTGTATAAATCTGCTGGGACAGTGGACACAAGGCTCAAAACTGGGACTGTCCCGGGTAAATAGGGATGTCTGGTCACCCTAATGGAAGAGTACACAAGAGTACGCAAAAGTTCTGTGATATACTAGTAGATTTTGTCAACAAATACTCTAAATCAGTACTTTAATGAAGTGAAAAGAAATAATTTGCGTAGTAGCATTTTCAAAAACAATCTCGATTACCATGGCCTCAGTAAAAATGTATGTACTGCATAACTTCAGTTTATTAAAGACAGAAGGAATGGGCATTGTAGGGCTAATGTAAAAATGTCTCCCAGTCACTCAAACTGGTAAAATGTGAGTTTTGAGAAGTTAGAAGTTTCCACAAGTGTGCATGTGGACAGATTGGGATGACTAGATTACTGAGTCATATATAACGTACATGTATGGATAGCGGATACTTTTCGATTTTTGAGGAGGCAGTACGTGAAATGAAACCTGGATTCGTGTATCAATACCTGTTTTTGCATTATTGAATGACAAAGCAAAACTACAAAATCCATTAACTGACATAACTAACATTATATAGCAGTTGTTTTTATTAAACCTTGTAACTTTTTGTGGTACCAGGAGACATTTTATTGTGTACTATATTAGTACCTTTAAAAGATACACTGCCCTAAATGTATAGAAAAATGCAGATTTCAAAGCCTTCAAATGGCTAAGGGTTTACAAAGTAGAGGTTGGCGTTTGTGATTCAATTCAACAAAGAATGGGGAGGAAAAAAAACCTTTTAATACATTTTTACTCTCAGAAAATCCAAATTCTTTTCATGTCCTTTCATGAATTCCAAAAGATTTTCAACATCAACATTCAAAAGTTCTGAAAAGGTCTGCGTAATCGCTCAATTGAACCTTTTATACTTTTTCGGCGGGCACACCACGTTCGAGACAATCTGTACATGTCTAAACGCATTAAACCTAAGTGAGCGGCAGAAGTTCTCAGATTTCAAAATAAAAGGTTCAATTATCACCTGCGTCGATATTTCACTTTCACCAGAACAAAAGTTTGCCTGAATCTCGTCTTCCCCGCGGATCTTTGTAACCCAGGTATATTCCGTCTGGGGCCCTTCCCTCTCATTTTCCCTGCGTGTGGGTTCGGTGTCGCGGCGGGAGCGGCGGCGGGGGGGCGGCGGTGATGTAACGGCGGTTGTTCTGGCAGATAAGACCCCCCACGCCCTTCACCCGGCCCCCCACCGCGCACCTGACAAATGGCACCGGGGCTGTCGGCGGCGTTCACATTGAGATAGACAGGTGCCGCCCTAACAACTACCTTATCCGCTACTTCTTATAGGTAGCGTTTCAGAATGGCAGAAATAAGCGGTATGAGGCGAGATAGCCGGCTTTCGACAGGCATTTCCCAACAAAAAAAGTGCAGGAAGTGAAGTGAACTACACTGGAAATTGCAAAGTTTGTGACAGTTGACAACTAGGTATTTTGTGTACTTGGGGGTTGGTAAAGCAATGGGTCTCTGTAAGCGCAAACATTTCACCCCGGAAAGGCAAAATCATGGTTCGGTGATGTGAAATGCAGACCGATCTCCATTTTTCCATGTGACAAAAAATAAAAATCCAAATTTCTTCTACTAAAGTCTGAACTCTGCTCCTAACTACACGCTTTTACAAACAGATGATTGGCTGTAGACCTCTCCATTAAACTGACCCAAACTGGATCTCGATTTGTTTACAGAGCACATACTACGTTATTTTCTGATCTATGTTATAATATTGTTACCTCATCGCAAACATACTTGGAGTTGTGTTTCAAACTCTGTGCGTATTTAGGCTTAGTTTTTCTCTCAAACCGAAAACACTTTGTTCCACCTTGTGATGTCCTGTGGTGATACAACACTCCATTATGTTCACACCTTTATTAGAATCATTTGGATGATTTTAGACCTCTTTCTGATCTCTTCCAAACTAAAGGTTAAAAGGTAGCTGGAAAACTACAGCCTCATGACATCGCAAGGTGGAACCAGTGGTGGAGTTGGCAGTTTGGGGGGTCTAGGTGAACTTGAGTTTGGGGCCCTAACTATAATGTAATATAATTTTTTTTTATATATATATATATATTATTGTCTGTTTTTCCCCATTCTTTTTGAGACACACACATCTTTATTTGAATTAGGTTGGATTGGAAACTTGTTTTATTAGTTAGGAAGCCTACTAGATAGAACCAGAGTTGAAAGTTGTTTTTTTTTTCCTTGTACGATTATATTTTTGTTTACATCCATTACATATATGATTATTATTATGATTTTGGTATAATTATGTTAAAATCAGGGTCAAGCTGACTCATCCATTCTGTCATGAAAGGGTGAAATGCTTTGACAGTTTGAATAGATTTGACAATCAGATACTATTGTGATGGTGTTTTCTTATTTAAAAGTAAAGTCATATTGAGAAAGTCAAATTGCTCTGAAGCCTTGATCATTAGTGGCACTGAGGGCAATAGGTTGGGGGCCCCTTCAGGTTCGGGGGCCCCTGGACGGCCGCCTACTGTTGCCTAATGGTAGCGCCGCCTCTGGATGGAGCAGCGCATTTTCAGCTTTGGAGATAGACAGACAGATATTAAAGAATTACTCAAACATGTGAATGAAACAAAACACTACTCCAGGTATGTTTGGTGCTAAAATGGCAATATAGTGTGTATATAAAAGTGTGTATTTATCAGGCTGTGATTGGCTAATAGAAAGTTCTGTCACGCTTAACCCACCTTGCCTAGTATGAAAGTGGCATGTGAGTTGGTGATTAATCTTGATCGGCGGCGACAATACAGTAGACTGGTAGCCTCACTTTTTTCAGTCTACCCCAGGGCAGCTGTGGCAACAATAGGAACTTAGAATAATAGGGAGTAAGGAGTGAATAAATAATGACTAGAGTGCTGCTATCGTGCTTTGGGAGTCTTCGACAACCCTGTGAACCAAACTATTATGAGTATAACTTTATCTTCCTGGTTAAATTTCAGCTCAGATCCTGAAGGCCCTCCACTCATCCACAGGGGGGGCGTGTGCATCACCGGTCAATTGCACCATTACACTGCCATATGTTTCACTTCTTCCTGGCAACAGAAGCGATCTATTCTCAGGCATAGCAACAGCAAACCCCGACCAAATTGGATCTTATTATATTCAGTGCTTTGCGTAGAACACTTTGCATATTGAAAATTGTACTCTGAAGACTTAAAATACTTTGACATTGAGTTGCATTATGTTGTAGTCTAAAAATACAGCAGGGCATTCTTTATTTTTGTTACAGTGTCACGCATTTATTTGTCTGTAATTGAAGGAAAAATTTACGTGCATGTTAAGAGCAAAGTTTTCTGTTTTCCTCACTGAAACTGTGCAGTTAGAAGCCTAAATTGTGTGACTAAATACTACAGTGTATTATTTGTATTTTAAGAAAGTAACTATATTCTGAATACCACCAAATTAAAGTGGAACTCTACAGGAATACTGAAATTTCAAACTCAATTTTGATCCTTAGAAATAGACTTGACACCCGATGCCACAATGTTAATAAAAATATTCAAACTCATTTCCATTGTAATTTCCGTCCTGTTGATGTGTTGTTTTTTTGTTTTGTTTTTTTTTCATTTTCGATAGTTTGACAACAAAAATATTACTATGACAAAGGGGTCTATTGTCGCGTGCCCCACTGTTTTATGGGCCCAAAATTTGACCTCTCCCTGTTAATTTATCTTAGACGGGGGCCCACGTGAGGCTTCTTGGACCGGACCCCCAATTTTCTGTCAACTTGCCTGCTGATGAGAATATGAGGATCTTAAAACCTACTCAAAAATCTACACAGGAATTTCTAAATATGTTGTGGTGTTTGTGTGTTTTGCAGGTTGTTCCAGAACCACTGGTATCAGCAAATCAGAGGATTATAAACTCCAGAGACCTTGTGTTTCGAAGTTTTTGTGAAAGAGCTCTTTAAAGGTACGGAACTACTTTTTCTCTTCACTGCATCTGTTGCGTAAAACTGTGTGTATCTTCATGTGGAAAGTAGTTTTATTTTTACCTGTTCTATCATATATACCATGACGTCAGTTACTCAGTTATTTTTGTTGTCCAATGTAACGTATTGCATCTGTGTCAGGAAGAATGGAGAAAACAAACAAAACAGCCATAAATATAAAACAGATTGTGTGTGTTTGTGTATTCTGAAAGACTTGAACATACTGTATAATATTAGATACGCAGTACTGTCCTTGATAGGAAAGGAACTATGTAAGATTGATTGAATACAGACATGCTCAAAACAAATATAGCTTTTACTGATAACAACTGTAATGCTGATTTATTCTTAGAAAAATACTGGACATTGTTAGAAGTTGGTCCAATCAGAAAACGGAATGAATGATATGACTTGACTTGAACATATTTTTTGGACTATAAGGCGCAGTATCAATAATGTTGAAATCTCGTCTATTTTCGTACATAATGCTTGCTGGATTAGTAAGACGCATTAAGTGAAACAAATGGACGACACTTTAGACTGATCCCTTAGTCCAGGCATCCACGATCCATTGGCAAATCGTGGCATAACTTGCCCGGCGTTGCCTCCCTGTCTTGGTGAATGTGGATTATGAATGTGAATGTGGGGGGATCATTTAAGATTGCTTTTTTATTTCCTATGAGGAGGACTCAAATATACATTGAGTAATCATGTGTTTAATGGAGCTTTGCGCACATTTTACTGAAACAAAACTTAAAACTACATGCATTTGCATACCATATTTTCCAGGGCTATTAGGCGCTCTGAAAATAGACCATTTAATGACAGTGCGTCTTGTAAACCAAACTTTTTTCACAAATAAACCGCACCGGACTTTTAAACGAAACAACAGTTGGATGGGTCAATGGGACTTTGTTTGGCGCGTTCACAGTGACTCTGGGCTTTGTTCAGTTGTGGCGTGTAGGGAGGGTGCTGTCTGGGACCGCTGGATTGTCGGCGTGTTCGCAGTGACTCAGTTGTTCAGTTGTGTCTGGAAGTGGCACATTGCGCTCGCTTTTTTGGTTCGTTCCGCCGTTCCGTTCCTCGTCTGCGTGGAGTGATGAGTGTGGCTGCGGGTGTGTTTTCGCTGTGCAGTCGCTGTCTGCTCCGTGCGTGTTTGTGTGCGCTGCGGGTGGTGCGGCTTTGTAGTTTACTGAAGTCGTGCTGGGACACCCGAGTGGATTAGTGTATAGGGCCCTCTGGATTGCGGGACGCGCGGTCGTTTTTTGATGCGGTTCGTGGCTAAAGAGCACATCTAATTGCCCGGAAAATACGGTAAACTATAAACCCTGAAAAAAACAACTCGCTCCTAATGCGCTGATGCGGTCAGCTTCTGTCATACTCAGCGAGGCTCTTGACTACAGTAGTCGTAATGCTCCAACAATCCCTCAAGATGCGGCTTTGTAGTCTACCAAAGTCATACTAAAACATTTTGACAGATTTTTGAGCGCCGTGTACCACATAAAATCGGTTCGCAGTCAATAAGCACAACCAAAATTAATGCATTAATACCTAATACATAATTAAAGATTTTTAAGTGCACCCTATAGTCCAAAAAATACGGTACATAGCCTGTGTTTTGTGTTGTGACTTGTGTATATTTGTTTGCATGTTTCACATCATAACATACAAAACACGTGTTGCTCAGGAGAGTTAATTATCATGTTTTCAGAGCTGACAGTTGACTCATCCATGAAAACTGATAATAACTGTAGCATCCTGGTTACAGATACGCTGTTGTAATCTCCGTGCTGGGCCCAGGATGCAAGCGCAGGCTTGTTTACATGCTGTTTGTGGTCTCCCTCGGCGTCATGTACACAGCCTTTTAGCTCTGATGTTCTGCAATTGATTTTCCTACACTAATGACGCAATAACATAAAGTGCAGGGCTCTTTACTTGACTGCCCATATTTTACAGGTGCATGGCGTAACTTTTTGGTTGGTGGTCTGCTTGTTTCTATGGATATGTCACTGCTCTGCCTTACATTTGTTAAACTACAGGTGGTTTTATAACTCGGAATACCTCGAAAAACAAACATTCTGACTGTGAGCGGTGTCGTCTCTCCACAGATCTGACCTATAACCTGGTCTGGTTTGGTCTCCATGAAAATAGAATGGTTTACTGTGAAACTTTCCAAACAAAGCAGTAACATCTCCATGGAGAAAAGCATTTGACGGACACTTTGCCAGAAAAGTTAAACAATACACCAAGCAGAATTTTTCATGTGATACTTCAACTTTTTTTTTTTTTTGCTTTGTTATCTGTACTTTTACTACAAAATTCAGTACTTCTTCCACCATTGGCAGACTGAAATAGTTTCTCGTGCTGTGTGGTGAGGCCGAGCTTTGAGCCTGTCAGGGTGAGTCAGTGGACAGCCCTGCGGATTGGCCCTCCACGGGGCTCACCTGGGGCCCCTGGAAACCCCTGCCTTCGCTCCCTTCACGCCAACTCTTCCTGACCACAGCGCTTTTATTCCAGATGCCACCTCCATTTTACATCCCCCCTGTACCCAAAGCACCTGCCACACTTCGTTCACCCGCTCCCACTCGCACAAAGTCTGTCCGGAGGCTTTAGGGTTTGGATTCTATTTTTTGGGTTTTAATAGAAATCGCTTAGAGGGCTGGCAGAGACTGTGAGAGTTTAAAGATACACTATGTAATTTTTTGGTTGAGGATCCGTCACCTACTTCTATGGATATGCCATTGCTCCATCTGGAATGTTCCACAGTGTGACTTTAAACACCTCTACTTTACATTTATACAATTACAGGTGGTTTTAAGTAGTGTTGTAGTCAAGACCGCAATAATCAAGACCAAGACATGTCCAAGGCCACAGGATCCTGAGACCAGGACAAGACCAAGACCTCTGAGGGTCGAGACCGAGACAAGACCAAGACCATGTCCCAATACTGAGACCAAATCAAGACCATCTGTAATTTTTTACTTTTATTTGTATTTTACAGTTATTTTGGCACATACATATCAATGTTTTTATACATCTATCTCCACTTGATCTGATTAATGTTCATTTAGGCTTAAAATAAGCCAAGCAAGCTGTACTGCACTAAAACACTCTGTGCCCCTTTTTTGGACCCTCATCCACAGTTTGAGAACCTTTTCTTTAATCCCACTTACACTGGTGCTTTACAGAAAACAACTTCAAAGTTAATCATGTGAGTTTTTTTCAAGTTCTTTCAACTTTAATGAAATATGATCGCACTTGTCGTGAGTCAGACCTCGAGTCCGAGACAAGACCCAATCCAAGCACCATTAGGGCTCAGACAAGACCAAGTCCAAATGAGCTTGAGTCCGAGACGAGACCAAGACCGTAAAAAAGCAGTCTTGAGGCCGGTACTACGACTCAAGAATACCTAGAAAAACATGCACTCAGACTCAGGCTCCACAGATCTGACCTGCAACTTGGTCTGGTTTGGTCTCCATGAAGGAAATAGAAAGATTTAATACCATATTGTGAAATACTGTTCTCTCAAAAACTTCTGTGTAGTAGTTTTATGTTATCCATGTAGGTCTGAGTAATCTAGTGATCCTCCTAAGCCCTATTCAAAACTTCCTTCGTTCGCTATAAGATCCTATGACTCATACTCACCTAAAAAAAAAAAAAAAACAAAAAAAAAAAAAAACTAATAACAGTTAATACTCCATAGAAGTGTAACACCTCCTCTTTAAGATTCCCATAGCATCTTTTTTTATGTTGTTGGAAAAATCCAGACAAACTTGCAACTACAAAAAGGATTGTATAGTAACTTTCTATTCTAACTATTATTTTTGTGTTAAAATGACATCTTGTAAAATTGTTTTCTTATCATCATGTCAAGTCAAGTTTGACAGTAAAATTTTAGTTTTTATTTCATCAAGCACCACAAATGTGTTAGTGAACTTAAGAAACTGGAACTTAGTGATTGAATATTATTAGTCACTGTCAGATGTAAAATGATGTTTTATTAAAATGAATGTTACAGAATATTCATATCAGTACAAAGGTGTGTGTACAGTAATCGTAGACTGTACATACATCGGAAAATTGTCTTAACTGCTGCAGTGAGTCTCGTCATTTTGGTTTTAAAATGTTTGTATTAACCCACTCTTTATGATCCTGGTGTTTTTATTTCGCATAAATACATAAATTCATTCCCATTTCTAATATGATCCTGGCTCCAAATTCACCCGTATAACCACAAAGCATCATGAGCTCCATTTGACTGGAACCAAACACTATAGGTGACGTCACACTCCCTCAGTCCACTTCTTCAAACAGTCTATGGAAGTCATCCTAAACACATCGCTCCTGGAAGGGTCTATACTTGAAAATTTCATTGGAACATCAGTTCAAAGGCCGAATTGATCCGAGTTCGAATCAGATTTGTCAATTCAGCATAATATGGGTCCCTCAGTGGCGTGACATTCGTGCAGAGACATGCCTCGTGGTTGTGATTGAATTCCTTTTAGTTTATTAATGTGTGTTATTTCAGTTCCAGCTAAAGGCTTGGAACATTCTCAGGAGAGTGGGGAAAAAGTGGAGTAGGACACGGGCACAGCAGGATACACACAAACTAATGAGCACTGAAGGAGTCCACAGTCATATTTGTGTCTTGAAAGCACAATGAAACTGAGGAATTATTATTATTATTATATCATTTAAAAGGCTATGTTGGCTGTCTGTATTACTGTATTCAACAATGTCAGGTAAAAATTAGGTTTGACTATGTTATAATGGTGTCCCCTCATCAAAAACATATCTGGACTTGTATTTTGTTTTATTCATGCTTGTTTCATCAATTCATGAACTCAAAATAGTCTTCACCAAACACTCAAAAATGCTTTGTTTTGTTGTGTCACAGACAAAACTACGGACTTTTACTGCAGGGTTTGTTTTTTTTTTTTCCATTTAACAACAACTTCGGCGGTTAAGTGCCTAACTGGCA